TGGGTCGGGCCCTAAAAACCAAAGACTCGCCCTGGACTGAGGTGGCCATGCACCTCGCCGAGGAGTTGAAGCCCGGACACTATTAGACCCACTCTCTTCTACAGAGACCGTTGTCATATTTTCAATAAGTGCCAGAGGAATAAAAAGTTGCACTAAGTAGAGATACTTCTGTTCTGGAATGAAATAATAGTGTTAAAGTGACTCTATTATGCTTTTTCGAATATTATTTAATTCTCCTTACATGGAGTGTGTAATATATTTCTGTTTGGGAAGGTCTGCAAAGTTTAAAAGATTAAAGTGCACGACAAGTAAAGTTATTGTCTCTTATTAAGAGAAAGAATCGATTCTGAACTGTTGAAACTAGTCGTCAGTAATTCAAACGTAACAATGTAACTCATTTGCATAAAGCCAGTCTATGGTGTTCATTGGCTGTCCGTGAGGTCTACTTTGACCCTCAAACACTGTAGTTGTAGCTGAGACTGGGAGAGTTTGGTTCGTGTTGTTCATGTCAAGAAGATGCTGTTTTCAGCGCTGAGAATCCACTGTAATGCAATTGGGGCAATTTAAAAATAGCAAGTGAAACCGTACGCATTATGCAACAATAAAGATTTCCAGCAGTATGAGGTCATTACATGCATGTTTAATTCAGCATGATCCAGTTCTCAGAAATACAAATGGATGTCCGATCAAATAACGAAAGAAAATGTTGAAAACTGCAGTGGATTTTAAAGCACTGCATTGTGGGACGCAGTATTATGCCGTGCATACTTCATAATAAGAAAGAGTTGTAATAATATGACAGCAAACACAAATCATAGTGCATCTTTAATACATGCAGTGAAATTAATACAGATTAATTAAACATGTTTCTACCAGTTTAGACCATTAAGGCGTTTTGCATCTTTAATGAGATTACTTTCATTTTGTGATTATTTATGAATTATTCTTATTTATGATTATTCTCACAAGATTGTCATTTTTACTGTACCAGTAAGTGTTTTTATTTAAAACAGAATAAAGAGAGAATACAAATTGGGGGTGTCGCTGTACACCGGTATTCACGATAACCGTGATATTAAAAAAAAAAATTATATCATTATCGTGTTAATTAGGGGTGTCGCAATATACAGATATTGATATAAATATATATATATCATTATCGTGAATTCTTTTGGTCACGATAACCGTAGTGAAAAATCATGACAGCCCTAATACAAATAGCCCAATATCACTATGTACAATGTTGTACACTAAGATTGCATTATTCATTAAGGACACATTAAATTGATCAAAAGTGACAGAAATGTAAATAACCGCAGTTAACGAACTTTATATTCATCAAAGAATCCTGAAATCTTAACGGTTTTCACAAAAATATGAAGCAGCACAACTGTTTTCAACATTTATAATAATCATAAATGCATCAAATCATCATATTAGAGTGATTTCTGAAGGATCATGTGACTCTGAAGACTGGTGTAATGACGCTGAAAATACAGCTTTGATCACAGGAATAAATTACATGTTAAAAAAACATTCAAATAGAAAAGAGTTCATTTAAATTGTAATACTATTTAACAATAATACTGTATTTTTGATCAAAAAAATGCAGCCTCGGTGAGCAGAAGAGACTCACTGCCCCAATCTTTTTGAACGGTAATGAATAAATATTTCAAAATTGATTTTTTTCTTTTCACATTACAGTAGAATGGAAAGCAGTGGATTCATTGGATAGTGCACTACTGTAGTGCAGAAAGGGGAACTGAATTGGGAAAGCCAGGCCTCGACACATGGACGACGTGTACTTAAAAGGTTTTGTGAGATTCAATGGCACACTTTCCCAAAACGCAAATCTGACCAGAGGCTAAAATCTGTTGAGTAGCTTTTAACTGCAAACATACACACTCAAACCAACACTGACCATCATCAAGGTGTGAAAAGGTGAACAGAAAACATCTATGAGAAATCTTCAAACTGTTCCTGACGCTGACCTATGTATAGTTGTGGGTGAAAGTTGACCTCTGAATGCGGTTTGGGCGCTGGAGGCGTGAAGGTCGAGTCGCAGTGACCCGGGTCACCGGCCCAAAACAGCTCTGCTGGCGTCACTGCATGAGATCCCAGAGGACGCCTGGCTTCGTTTTTGACATGCAAGAAAACAGATGCCCTTTTACACTGACCTAGAACCAGTTTTCCGTATGTCGACTTTAACCTCAGCCATTACGAAACAACCTAAGTGATTCTCTCCCAGATGAGAGCTTCCTGATGCGAATGTGTGCTGACCTTTCCTCAACCTCGCACAAGATCCCGACTGTCAGATAAAGAGGAGCGCAAATGTGTCCGCCGTACAGAGGAAGAGTCGTACAGACAGCGCCGCAGCTCTTCTGAGCCATTCGGATACTTTATTAGAAGTTCTGCACATTTAACGTTTAAACAAAATCTGCATTTTGGTCAGAGCTATATTACACAACCCAGATTATATATATATAATTATAGTTCTGCTTGGGTGAATCTCACATAACATGTTCGTGAGGACTGAAAATGTCCACATAATACCTGGAAATATTTTGTTTGATGAGGACCTTTTCTTAAAATTAAGCACATTTAATAATATCATTCATAATATACATATTTTTATGGAACTGAACCCCTCTGAAACTTAAAAAAAAAAAAAAAAACTTAAAATTAACATTTGAATAAGACATGTAAATTACAAAAACATTTATTTTTAATAATATATTTATTTTTTATTTCGACTGATAAACAATGCTCACCTTTAATCCTAAAAATCGTAATGCAATTTTTCATCCCTCGTGACTTTGAGGTGAAACGGGACCCATTCACATCAGATCCTCATTTGTACATGACAATGTTTACCTTTTAAAAACTCATACAACTGAATTTTATTCGATTTTTGTACAGCACACAAATTAAGCATGGTCAACACTATGGCTCTCGTGATTACAGTATATTTAAAGCAATATTTTACCCAAAAACTAGCTTTTCTTTAATCCTCAAACCACCGGATGATATAAAATGGACTTACAAAGCTCAAATGGAGCAGAAAGGACATCATAAACGATCCTTCTTAACATCAGGTAATTAAAAAAACGACTTGGTTGAGGTCCTACTTCAAAGCACATACTTGTAGTGTGAGGCGTGACTATGTACCGACGGTGGGCAAACGGAAGAATGAACACTGGATTCGGGGTAAAACATTCCTTTAAAATGTGAACACAGAATCCAGACACATCAGTTCATTCGTGAGCGAACACAAACATTGGCTTTTGATGCGATTAGAAGAAAATCAGCAGGACGCTGTGAAGCCGAAGCCATCCACACACAGACGAGTCGAAAGATTAAGCCTTTAAAAATTCAAGACTTCTGAAGTCCTTTCATGGCTTTAGACGCCTAGGAAAAAATTAGCTGGCGACTCTCAACACACTGATAAGTTCATTCAGAGTTTGTGCGCGTTTGTTCCGATGTGGTCCTACAGATTCAATCTCATGTTCATCATTGCAAACCAATCCCTCCCACAAAAAAAGATGCTGTCCAATGAAAGGGGCCGGTGGCCTGATCAAACCCTCCCAGAGCCCTCCGTCCGGCCGATGCTCATGTCTGCCGCTTCATCAGTACATCTTCTGCCGGCTCGGCAAAACGGCCTCCTTCAGGAAGGAGAAGATGAGCAGGATTCCCGAGCGCTTGCCCCGCTTGCCTTTAGTGAAGTAGTTCGACACCACATCATCTGAGAAACACACACACACACAGAAAACCATCAACATATGAGGAGTGTATATAGTAGCACTGATAATGTCTGTCCAACACATCCAACTACAGAGTAGAAGTGGGCGATAAGCAAACATTTTAATAATTTCAAACATTTGGTGATTATGATGATATCATGATACACACATTTTTGTAGAACATCCCTGACAAAAAAAGTAAATAAAAGTATCTTGACCGAAAACAATGTTTTTAAAATAATTTTTTAAAAACATTTAATAATTTAATAAATATTTTTAATAATTTATTTTATTATTGTTAATTATTTTTATTAATTACACTGAAAAATATTCAAATATGCATTGTTTTTCAAAGGCACGTAAATTACAATGAAGCAAATTTATTTTTAATAAAAGAAAAACATTTTTTTTTTTTCATTCTTTTTATTTAATTAAGACTGAAAAAAAAAAGTAAAATGCACATTTGAATATTATTCAGGGCATGTAAATTACAATCAAGCAAATTTATTTTTAATAAAATATATTGAAAAATGTATTACTTTTATTTAATTAGACTGAAAAACAACGTTCAAGATAAAATGCACATTTGAATAATTTTCAAAGGCAAGTAAATTGCAAAGAAGCAGTTTTATTTTTAAGAAAACATTACATTTTTCTTATATATTTTATTTAATTGATCTGAAAAACAACATTCAAAGTAAAATGCACATTTGAATATTATTCAGGGCACGTAAATTACAATAACGCAATTTAATTTTTAATAAAATATTACATTTGCATTACTTAATTTACTTTTATTTACAAAATACTAAATGACATTATATAGTGCTCTTAAACTCATCTGCTCGGTTTGGTTCAAACACAAGTCTCTATATTTAATTGAAAAGCTTCTGCTCTGATTCTGAAGAAGCCTCGTACAACTTGTGTACATTTTTGACATATTCAGAAATAATGTATCAATCAAATCACTTTTAATGACTGCGAAAAACAAAAATAATTGCATAGAGATTTCTTCTGTTTGCCCCGTTATATGACTCACCCCAGTAACTGGGCTAGTAGTACCTAAGGATAGTTTAACATGCCCATGTGATCATAAACGCATGTGATTGGCTCGTCTCTCACCTCCCTGCTGCACAGTGGACGGAAGCACATTCTCCCCGGCAGAAAGAGACACGAAGAACGAGAAAGGAATCACCCACAGGCATATCGTGAAGTACGCCAGAACCTGAAAACACAGAGACCCGTCCTCTAGTAAACTCAGTCACTGTTCACCTCAACTTCAAAATACAGGCATCGTTTAATCGGCCTAATGTCATGTTTTAAAGACATTAATACTTAAACTGAGCAAAATTGATGTTACTAAAGGTTTCTATTTCTTATAAATGCAGTGCTTTCTATTCATCAAAGAAATTTCCACAAAAATATTAATGGGAGTTTCAACTAAAATATTAAGCAACACATTGATAATAATCAGAAGTGTTTCTTGAGCATCAAATCATCATATTAGAGTGATTTCTGAAGGATCATGTGACACTGAAGACTGGAGTAATGATGCTGAAAATACAGCTTTGATCACAGGAATAAATTACAGTTTAAAAGATATTACAATAGAAAATGGCTAGTTTAAATTGTAATAATATTTACAATTTTACTGTATTTTTGATCAAATAAATGCAGCCTTGGTGAGCAGAAGAGACTACAAAAACAGAAACAAAACTTACCAACACCAAACTTTCAAACTGTACTGTATTTTTCTGAACTTAACTTTCACCAATCATTTCAAACTCAAAGTGGGATCAATAGTTTTCTTTAATAGGCCAATGTGAGAGAGAAATTATACATCCGAGTATCACCCTAAATCTAAACTCCTGGGTTTGAGATTACATTGTTTTGGTCAGTTAACATATTTTATATATTTGCATATAAGATATAGCATACCTCAGAGAAAGGATAGTACTCCTCCGCAAAATACTGGAAGGCCATATAGTGGTTTAACACAACCAGTGCTGGAAAAGAGAGCAAAAATAAGGATGAGAGGAGAACACTGTCAAATGAAGAGTTTGGTTCCAAAACGCGATAAACGCCATTTTTAAAACAAAAATTAGTTACTGCAAAAATCAGTATTGTATCTGGTTGGTATTGAAAAGTCAATGTTTAATTTGAAGTAAAATGCGATATCCGCCGTGTTATTCTGTCATGCTTTCTCCCTTTCTTTCCAAACCGCGACAAACGCCAGTCTCCCTTCTCTGCAGAATGCGATATATCCGCTCTCAACCAATCACAACGCACCATTCCACGCAATGTAAACAGTAACTGCAGCGCCTTAAATACACCCGGCTTCCTAGTTTTTCTTATCTATTTTGTACTTTTCGATCAACAAACAAACAAAAAAATGAATAATTTTGACGGCATTGATGAACCTGTGGTTGTTTCTGCGGTGGGTAAGAAACGTAAGGCATCGAAATCGAATCGTTTACGTGAGGAGATTAAGAAGACGAGGCACTCGGGAGGAGGAAAAATGTTTTCAATCTTCTTTACAGTTCTTAATAAAAATATTATACTAATAAACTTACGTTGTTGTGTATTTTCAACAGTTTCAATATCAAAAAAAACTTTTATATTGATTCAATGGATTAATTGCAATTTTTTTTTTTTTTTAAATGGATTTATTGCATTTTGGGGAAAAAATAATCTGTTTTTATAATAAATCTTTGAAAATTAAAACCTGGATTTTTTTTTTTATTATTATTATGACCTACAAATGCTATGTGAAAGTTTGAAACAGAAAATAGTGGTTTTCATCTTTCCACTTTCTTGGTAAAGAAAACACTTTTTTTTTTACTCAAATTAATCTAAATGGATTTATTGCGTGTTGGAACCAAACTCTTCAAATATCCCGACTGTAAATGTGTCCGTACGCACCACATGACAGGATGAAGTTCGGCGAGGTCAGCATGATGTATGGAAACGTCTGCAGAAGACCAAAGTAAACCAGGTTTGTGAAGAGACCCACTCCCATCATGAGGGTCGGGAAGCCCTCGAACACGTAGAGCCCGACCAGAACCGCTGTGGAGAACTGAGAGATGAGAGTACGAGTGTGAGACATGAAGCACGTCCACGTAACCTCACACCAGGGCTCGTACACACACTGTTAAACGAGATTCAAGGACTTTTCAAGCACTCCTTTTTACATAACTTGCAACACATGCAATGACTGTGGTCCCTTTAACCATTGAAAGGATACTATTAAAAACATATTTCTTTATTCAAACTGATTTTTTCTCCCGTGAATATATGATTGACTTCAAGAATGAAAACACTACCATATACGTGGATATTTACGAGTAATATCACGCTCATTCATAGCCATGCGAAATGACTGCAGCGTTAACTTTGTGTGAAAAGATTTAACATCAATAAAATTAAGCAATAATTTCACATGTCTTTTAAAAATTCAAGCACTTTTTGATAAATATGGGTGTTTTCAAGTCAAATTCAAGCATCTACGAAACCCTGTCACACAAAGCATAGAACATGTTGCTGACGCTTACATCAGTATTATAATAACAACCAATGCAAACACACTTATGACAACACTTTCATTCTGTGAGAGATGAAATCTGATCCGACTGTTCAGACAGTGTTCACAAGCCTAGAAAGATTTGAATCCCAAACTGGATTTGTGTCCCGTTCTCTAGATATGGCTCGAGTTCCTGCGATATTAGTCTATGGGTGCATCCTCCTCAATAATGTAAGTTTTATATAATGACACAATACTCACCATAATCATATATTTTATAATGCGACTGGTGGCGACTGTGTACTCCTCTATTAACTCCGCCAGGTAATACAGGCCTGCAGCTGTGAGGACAAATAACAAACTGAGAAAAACTACACATAAACATCCGTCATTCAGATCTTACAAGTGGGTTAAAGTGCAAGAGCGATACATCCACCCATCAAGTTTCTTATACATTCAGTGCTAGAGTAAGAGTAAACACAGGTGTCCAAATACAGGTACAGGTGTCATCATGAACATCTGACTGCCTACGTGGACAGACACACTTGTACTGTTTTTAACCAATCATCATCATGTGGAACAGCGAGAATTGAAAGAATTCAATTAGCCATCATATAACGTTAAATGAAATGACCTGTCACTAAAATAAGTGTCTAGTCAGATGTAACTTTACCCTAACGGGTCTCATATAAATGGGCGGAGAGAAATACTAATCCAAACAATCCTGTATTCTGCAACCATACAGTTAGAAATATAAAAACTCAAAGGCTTGAAACACAATGAGAGCTTATCGATTCTTATATAATATGACTTTAGTCAAAGAGATAGATGTGAGGCCGTTTTTTTCTAAGCTCATCACACTGTTATTCTATTCTACATCGTTATTTTCCCAAAGGCTTCTATTAATTGAAAATAAACGGATATTTGATTGTTAATAAGGCGCGGGAGCTGAGGGATTTCTTTGGTCGCGTCAGCAAAAGGAGGTTAGCGGCTAACAGCAGCAACATAAAACTCACCAATAGCGAGAGTAACGAAACATATCTGTATCACCAGCGACAACCAGCTGAGTAAATAAATAAACCACATCTTTTTTAAAAGGGCTGGTCGAATAAATAAGTGACTCGTAGTAAACAATAACGGAGATGTGTGTCTCCGCTGCTAAGCTAACAGCTGAAGTGGTCAAAGTTTCTTCTGCGGCTTCCTCAGGCGGAGCGAGACGCTGAGGTGAGGTACCCCTCGCTGCAGACTGTAGCGCGGTGACATCACGTATACACGTCACGTATGTACGTCACGTATGTGTTACCACGCATGCGCAAAGTAGACGCATGTGCGCACGCGCGAATTATACGCATTTGCGCACGCGCAGTTCATTACAATCACTTCCGGCGATGGATTCGATGGCAGTAAGTCAATAAGGATTATTTATGCTGTTTTAACAATTGTTCTTTTGTGTTAACGGCTTTTAATTGTAAGAGATTCCATAGAGCGCATCAGAAATGTTTTAGATTTTACAAAAAATGTTATGTTTTATGATCTCATATTATCAAAATGACTTCAGCGAGTTTCAGCGAGTCTTAAAATGATATGTATAAGTCTTAATTCGCCTTTAAACAAATTAAGGTTTGAAAGATGTCTTCAAATAGAGCAGAAAGACTTATGTAAGTAATGTAGTTGATTGTTCCATCCATTGCAAAAGAAATGTTGTTCCTCAGTATCAGATCGTACTGTAAAAGTTACATTCGTGAATGTAGTACACTTACAGTACGTAAGTTATGTTAAATACATTTGTGGTGAAATTAATTAAAGTAATGAAGTTGAACATTGTATTTTGCTCAAATAAGATTCATTGTGATTCTCCTTAGTTGTTTTTATCATTTAGACAGCATAACTTTTTTTTTTAAACTAGTTTATGTTAAAGTCTCTTAGGTACTTAGGTACTTTACAGACAAAGCCAATAACTTTGTTTAAAAAAATTATATATATATATATATATATATATATATATATTCCTTGTATGACGACTCTGTACTGTATTAATGCCTTTCTTCAAAATGATTCATATTGTTTGTTCTGTATTTTATCTAAATTAGGTGTTGTGAACTGGAGTACATTTTCCAGCAATACAAGCAAGAGTTCCGGGTGCCCTACTCGTTAACTCTGTGCTTGCACTGCAATATACAAGGACTGCCCACCTGGGGCTGGGTGTGTGGGTGATGGCAGAAGGGGAGTCCTGCGTTGATTTTATTCTGATAAGGAGGTTGAGGGCTATGCTCAGTTGATTGTTTTTTCAATGATGGAGGGGAATTTCAAGCTGAGTAGTGTGTCTGTCTGTCTCTCTCTCTCTCTGTGTGTGTGTGTGTGTGTGTGTGTGTGTGTGTGTGTGTGTGTGTGTGTGTGTGTGTGTGTGTGTGTGTGTGTGTGTGTGTGTGTGTGTGTGTGTGTGTGTGTGAGTGTGTGTGTGTGTGAGTGTGTGTGTGAGTGTGTGTGTGAGTGTGTGTGTGTGTGTGTGTGTGTGTGTGTGTGTGTGTGTGTGTGTGTGTGTGTGTGTGTGTGTGTGTGTGTGTGTGTGTGTGTGTGTGTGTGTGTGTGTGTGTGTGTCTGTCTGTCTGTGTGTGTACAGATGTATGTGATTATCTGTATTTGTACATATTTCTTTTACACAATTATCTTTGTTTTGAAATAAAAGTTATGACTGTTATGAGTTTTTTTTTGAGTTGGCATGCATAATATCGGATACAGAGATTGACAATGTGCTGTTTAACTTCAAACTACTTTATTGGAATAAATGTTTTATGATAGCCTATATAATGCACAAAAATAAACAATTATTAACTATTAAAGGGGAATGATTAAAATAAGAAATATATAAGGTGCCATCAGTGTTTACAGTAATTTTGTAATTTACAAAGTGAAGTGCAATAAAAGACAGAATGAATCTAAGGCTGCTGGTGTCCTTTTATAAATCCACCATTGAGAGCATTCTTTCATATTGCATCTCTGTGTGGTTTGCTGGGTGTTCTACTGCCAACAAAAAGGCTCTGCAGAGAATCATCAAGACTGCAGAAAACATTATAGGATGCCCTTTACCATCTTTGTCAGACATTGCACTTCGTCGCACTCTCTCAAGAGCCAAAAACATCATCAAGGACAATACTCATCCAGGTCACCTTTTGTTTCAACTGTTGCCTTCTGGTAGGCGTTATAGGTCTATACAATCCAGCACCACCAGATTCAAAAATAGCTTCTTTCCAAATGCACTGTTTTAATTCAACTTTATACTGTTTTTATGTTTGTTTTATTTATATATATTATTTTATGTACTGTAAGGATTATTTAAATGTATTTATTGTATACACCAGTGGAGAGTGTTACCAATTTCGTTGTATTGTAAAGTACAATGACAATAAAGGCATTCAATTCAATAGAATGTAAAAATAAACTTTAAATAAAATACTACACAGATATTACACAATAATACATTCTAAAATTTCTCATAAGTTTACCTTAAATCAGGCATAGTTAAAACTATGGATGTGTGTTTTACTTCTTTTTGCTGCTTTCATTATTACCTTAGAGTTTTTTAATACATTAACATTTTTGTTAAATATTATGTCAAATTGACGCGGGACGTCAAAACACGTGACGTAACGCGCATGCGCTGTCGCCGCGATATGGCGCATGCGTGGTAACACATACGTGACGTACGTACGTGACGTATTGTATATACGTGACGTCACCGCGCTACAGTCTGCAGCGAGGAGTACTTGGCTGAGGTGGGAATCAGATCGCAGACAGCGCCACTCAGGCTAGAGGCGGTACTGCACCTGTGCGTCTCGATAGATTCCAGCTCTCATAAAATAACATTTAAATAAGAAATATAAACAAACAAATACATTAAAAAATAAATAATAATACAAATAATAATAAAAAAATAAACGATTAATAAAAAAATAAATAAAAAAAGTAAATTAAATAGTACATAAAAATACAATAATAAAAAATAAATTAATAATAAAAAAATAATAATATTAAAATAAAATAAAATAAAATAAAATAAAATAAAATAAAATAAAATAAAATAAAATAAAATAAAATAAAATAAAATAAAATAAAATAAAATAAAATACCTTTGGAGAACCAGGGAGTAGCAAGAGAGATTACTGTCAGTCAGAAGTCATCAAAACCTGAAATATAACCCAAATGGGAGCATGGAAATTATGTAGTGATTCTAAAAATATTAATCAAATAAAATATTTGTCTTGATAGTTTCCAGCTCTGCTTAAAATAAAATACAAAATATTATAATGTTTGAATACTATTTTATATTTGGCTACAAAATTAATTTCAAGCATGTTTAGAACAAAATCGCTGGTGTTTCTGACGTCACAAACTACCTTGTAACCAATCAGATCAACTTGTGTGATCGTCAACGGGTGGATCTCTGAGCTGAGTGAGTGAGTGAGTGGAGGCGGGGCTCATTTGCATATTCATAGAACCGTGTATACTAATGAGGCAAGGGTGTGGAGCTATTCGAGATATTTTAAGGCATGAAGAAAAAAAAATTCAAGGAAAAAACGTTTAAATATGACATTTTGGTGTTTAATGATGAGTTTTAAGTGATGATATTATTGACTAGGGGGAGTTTCAGAAACATAAATTCAGTATAGATAGGCAGACAGATGATCAGGGGGAAAAAAGGGCTTTCCAAAAAACACATTTTGAATTTTTTTCACCAGCTCTTCGCTTGTTTTGGTCATGCATATTACATCCACATCCATGCATCTTCTCCTCCTTCATCCTCACACGAACACAGATGTACACACACCTAAATCAGACACCTTTCAGATCCTGGTGAAAAACATGAATTCTTTATAGTGTTTGTTAGATGGAAAGCTCTCTTGGGTGAGAGGAATCCTCACAGAATGAAATGCCTTTTAAAAGTAAAGGAGCAAAAGTGAGTGAGAGTGGAAAATAATTGTAGACTCCATTTAAAATGCTTTTATCAAAGAAGAGGAGTGTGAAGGTGTTAGGAGAAAAGGCTGGCCTTTTTATTGCAGGTGTTTCCAGATGGACGGATAAACTAACCTTAAGGCTTTGACACTGGCAGCATATACACGTGAAATATATTCTGATACTCCCCTAAAATTTTGTGTTTTATGGTTTTAACTTTGAATTTAAATAATAGACATTGTTTATAAGTTAACCTCTTTGCGTGTTGGTCAAAAATGAAAAAAAAAAATTTCAATTAAATGAATGTACCATATTTTTTAATTAATATTTTGTATTATTAGGGGATTTTATGGTACTAAATTATATTTATGGAATATATATTATTTTGTATTATTAGGGGATTTTATGGTACTAAATTATATAGATATGATCAATTTATTACCTGTTAATCCACTTTTGGATTAACCTGAAAATAATATTTCCAACTTGAACTTCATAAATCTTGAATGCTTTCGAGCAGAGACTGTTTTTAAAGACGACAGTTGGCATATTATTGCTGAAGAGAAAAAAAAGGATTTTTTTTATTATGAAAAATGCACGAAAATAGTAGGCTATTTAAAAAATTTATATCAAATAAATATTTTCCAAAACATGTTTTACTCTAAAACTGTAAAAAAAAAAAAAAAAAAATCAAAGTCAAAGCCATAAATCTAAACAAGTCGTGATACAAATTTGAGGTTGATATCTCAAAAATTTGCTTTAAGTATTTTTTTTTTGCCGCATTACCACCGCATTGCCGCATAACTTGCCGCATTACCTAGTGAAATTCGCTTCCCATTAATTTCCAATGCGCTCATTATTGACACGTGTATCTATATTTTTCCATGGCTATTTAAATTATGTCCATGATTTTCTGCACAGCAAGTGCCAAAACCTTTACAAAGATTCGTACCATTCCGAGGAAGTAAAAATTTGTCAAAAATGGCCGAAAATCACCAGAGGGTTAAAATATCATTAACAAAAATATCATATTTTGCAGCCATGGTAGCTTAAAGTCTTTTAGGTTAAGGGGAGGTTTACATGACACAGTTTTCAACTAAAAACAGAAAATTCTTTATGCATTTTGGCCGTTCATTTGCAGCGTTTTGGGGCCTGAAAACGCAAACGGGTTTCAAAGAGCAAGTTTTTGAAACCGATAGAGTTTTATATAGGCCTACATCTCAGTGTAAACTACAAAATCACGAATTTGTGAAACAGTGACGTCATGCATATATTACGTGTTCAGTGTAGTTTCTTTCAGTAGTTGTAGTTGTAGTGACATCAACAATGACTGGCCTGGAAGCAGAATACAGTGTTTTACCGTGTTTTCGCAGATCCGTGTGAACGGGGATAACATTGCACTGTAAAAAAATATTTTCATGATTTGTTATCGCAATGATTCGTTGTTTTTTTCTTTTGTCAAATCATCTTAGATAATTAATGTGATTCGGGTAAAATAATATTTTTAGTTTCTATTTATTAAACTCCTTCATTAATTGTATTAACTCAAATTTGACATTTTAATGAACTCAAAATTTGAAATTATGTTTTACGGTGTGTATAAGTGTCCTTTTGCATAAGTATTTGCCCCCATGTGTTGTTGTTGGGCCTAGTAACTTGATGTTTTGTGACATCTGGAGTTCAAATGACCCATTCACACTCAAAAACACTGATTACCGTTATTGTGTATCGTGTGCAAGTATTGAGATCTCGGTGATCTTTTTTTCAGTGTAACATGAAATCTGTCGATTACTTAAATGTTTCAAAGTAAAGCATACACTTGAATAAGTCATGCAAAGTAAACTTCAATTGAGCAAGTAGAAATTCCTCAACAAACTCTAAGTGGCCATTTCCATTGACTTATTCTCTTTGCTAATTTTAAGTAGTTTTCACTTAATTCCATACACGTGAAATTGACTTTAAAAAGTACGAGTGCGAAAACTTGCAAAAGAAAAATTAAGTGCATTTTTCTTATTGTTGTTCCAGTGTTGACTGCATTATATCCTTAAATGATTGAGTCGAAGCCTTGATTCCAATCCAAATGAGATTCTTTGCTATTTTTTCAACATTGCTGTGCATCTGAGCAACAAATCCACCAAGAATGATGACAATTACACCAGAGAAGGATGCAATATACTTTTATGAATATAAAACAATGCCATGTTAAAGTAATTTAAAATTTCAATGCTTAGAAAATGTCCGTGTCTGATCTGTAATTCACAACAATGAAAGAATCGTTTAAAGGTCCAAATACTTGTGCAAATCAAGTATTCAAGCAAGTCGAGTCTTTTAATGGAAGAATTCATGCCTCAAAAGAACAAATGTCCAACACACAGACCGAGGGCAAAGAAAAGACAGACAAAGTATGTGCAGAATGTTTTTTATTTCTTTCATAATTGCTTTTTGAATGCAGGGGTCCTTGGTTTTTTTCATTGCGGCGTTCGCACCACAGTTAACAGGGTTAGCGCTTTATTCAGCCTTGTGACATTTACTCGAAACTAAATCCATGAGGCGTCTGGCAGAAGGAAATAGGTGTTGAAGTCATACTTAGTTCAACATCGTGCTTCTCGAAAAGTGCAGAAGGTCAGACTAAAAGACCCCTCAAACAAAGCTCACTTTTCTTCCCATATCACGGACTCGGAGGCCTTTATGCGAGAGACTCTCTTCTCTCGGTTCTGCTGAAGTCTGCGGAGGACAGGAGCGCTTCCACTCTCCCCTGCCCAGGGCGAGGACATCGAGGCCGGCATGCCAGCACTGGGGCAATCTGAGGAGACGTGACCTTAGCGTTATAATGCAGCTCACACAAACATTCACACCGATCAATAAATGAGGAGGCAGCTTTTAAGCAGTGCCGTCAAGGATATATCGCTCCCAGAGTGCAAACAATTAGGCCAATAAATCTGATTTATTTACAAGCCAAAGTTTACTTTTACACAAACTAGGCTATATGTATATAAAAAAAACTTTTTATCCCAAAGTAATGTGTAAAAAAATATCTGAAAGTTGTAAGATAACTGAGAAGCAAAATTAGATAAAACATCGGTAACTTGTTAACCTCACTAAATGTGGACTTAATATTTTATTTCAATATTTATTTAAAGGCACTTCTGAAAATTTGGGGATAAATGAACACTTTATGTAGAAATTAAGACTACGTAAAATAGTATTTTTTCTTCTTTTTTTTTACATAGGTTCGTTGGTCATGTTTTTTTTTAAAGAAATATATTTCTTAGAAAATTAAATTTCTTAAATATTATAATTCTTAAAAAGTACTTTATCAGTTATGTTCTCTTTATTTAAAGGTGCCATGTGTTATAATTGAGGTAAAAATATCCACAAAAAATGAGCTACACGCATTAAAAGAATGAGAAGAAATAAGGGTGATGATGTCATTAAAAAAATGACAAGTTATAGTGCTGCAGAGATATCAACCTGAATTAGCATGCTAAATTACTAGCCACGGCCCGACAGGTGTCATAATTTTTCATTTTTCATTTATTTCGGTTTGGTCATTTACAGATCATTCAATCAATAAAATCATTCAAAACATAAACACTATAGACGCGGGCAACATAACCAGCCAAACTGCAATACACGGAAAACTCGCACGGCTTGTGGGCGTACTTGAACCTGATGTCAATCGTGTGGAAAGTACAGCCCACTACATTTCAGTTCAGGAAAAAGAGCGGACCTATATTATGTTAATGCTTTCCTGAGGTAAATCTGACATATTTGTTCTCCAGCTATGTTATTGACCTCTGCACGCTGATAAAAAAAACGATTGGTCGATATTATGTTATGTATGAGGAATACATTTTGGTAAGTTGTAGCCTATTGTATCTTTCAACCGTGTTCGTGTTTTTTTACTATTAGCTAATAGAGATGATGCGTGCGCTAGGGATCTGTCGTGTAACATTTACAAGCGCCAAAACGGTATTTTTTTTTTGTGTAATAAAATAAAAATAAAATTGACAGAATCTGAGAACTGAGATTTTTTAAATATCATAACTAACCTGCTCTGTCTAGTCTGTCGGTCTCCGTGTCCTCTTTGCTTTGCGGTTTTTCCAACGCGTTCTCTTCTTATCCCAAGGCGTCATATACGACGCTTTTTTTTTTGCCAAAGCGTATATATCCTACTAGGGGTGTCACGATTTCGATTTTAAATCGAAATCGATCGAAATTATTTTTTTTCCGAATCGATCGAATTAAAAAATGGAATCGTCGATACTGCCACGCCCCCATGTCACGTCCGGTCGGCGTGCCAAGCGGGAAAAAAACACGCGTGTTGAAAAGCTGCGAGTATATGGTCAACCTCCTCTAACTTAGCTACAGCCATTCAAAAGATAGCATGGCAACTGCAGCAGATGCAGGAGACCCATCGACAGAACTTAACATCGGCAGCTGTAACAGTGCGCGCGACGCCGCATCCGAAGATGAACGACTTCGAGCCGAATCTGGCCGAGCATGTATGTCTCACCGCACCGGCATCCAGTTTGTGCGTCTTAAATTAGTTTCTTACATTTACAAAATGAGTCTATAGCAAACATAAGCCATTTTAATAAAAATAAAGTTCCATGTTTTATAAAATGTCCATTAAACTTAATTAAATGTTTAGTGAAATAAGAAATATTTAAAAGATCGTTAATTGAGTTGTATAGCCTACATCCTACATACGTTTTTATATCCACATATTTTGTTCTAATGTCACAATAATAATCTCAGGGTTTACTGGATTTTACACGATTCTTTTTGTAGTGTTATTGGTGGTGATGTACTAAAATAAACATTGTAACGTGTGGACCTTTCTGCTTCTCACATTGATTCCTGATGGTTAAGAGGACAATTACTTTAGTCGCCACCTGTCATTTCACAGACTAGCACAACGGCGAGCGCGTCGAGTATAAACGCCTCGTCCGTTTGGAGAGGCGCGCGCGCAGTCAGCGGAGACTCGCGCTCTTGCGGACGCGTCAAGTATAAACAAGGCTGTAATCTCCCGGAATGAGCGAGCGAGCGAGCAAGAGCGCGCAATCGCGCATGTGAGACAGAAAAAACTATGCTCCAAACCGTATAGCGGGCGCACAGGAGAGAGCGAGAGAGCGAGAGATCTTGCGTATGTGCCTCATGAAGCGCATTAAGACAGAGAGCATCCTGATTGGCCGGTTTCGGCTTTAAAAAAATAAATGTAAAAATCGAGAATCGAATCGAACCGTGACCTTAGAATCGAAAATGTAATCGAATCGAGGATTTGGAGAATCGTGACACCCCTATATCCTACGCACATGGCACCCTTTAGCGTCAATATAACACGCACAGAGTATGGGTAGGTTTAGATCTGGGGTAGGGTTAGGGTTAGACCACTAGGAGGCGCCTCATTCTGCCCATCTGCGTCTCATATTTACGCTAAAGGGTGCCATGTGCGTAGGATATGTACGCTTTGACAAAAGCGTCGTATATGACGCCTTGGGATGAGGACGGGCTCGATTTTTGGCGTGAGAGCGTGTGAAAAGTGTCAATTGCGTGTGTCTCACGGTGAATTCGTGAGAGTTGGCAGCTCTGAATGGCGCTAGCTTGGTCAACATCAGCGAATGCTGTCTGTCAAATTAATGTAATTCAAGCTAACAATAAAAATGTAATATGAACAAAACGAATGTGAACATATTCACTGGTAAAGGTGAAGGGGAGTAGCTTGAAGATGTCATATTTAAAAATCACTTGACATCAACCAACGTTCCTTCGGCTATGGCTCTAGGGTCGTTGTGAAGGTAGGGGCGGAGCATAGAGACTATGCCGTTTCTCGTTTGTTACTCTAGTCTAGACCAACTCGCTTTCTGGAGGTATACTGCCCCCATCTGGTATGGAATGTGGAGTATGAATTTATTTTTTGGTGGACATGCCACAAGGCACCTTTAACTTCCTAAAGGAAATTATGCATTTGGCTTTTATCTCAAGTGATGTACATTGCATTGAAGGAACACATTTTACATGTGATCAAATTATATATATATATAAAAATCTGCAAATAAATTGTGAATTCACTGCTTTTGTTTACTGTCTTTGCTGATTATTTCAATAATAAGGTTTAGGATTGACCAGCTTGTGTAAACTAAAGTACATTTGAATAAAGTTTTTTGGGAATGTGAGAGCGTAAAGTAAGAGATGGTACCTTTGGGTTTAGATGGAGGGTTAGGGTTAGGATTAGCGTTAGGTGAGGGCCCTTTTTCGTCCCCCATGGCCCGCCTCCTCCTCTGGAGCACCATCTGAAGCTCCGCCTCCCCAACATTACGGCTGAAGCGTTTTTTCGATTCCACCTTTCGGGGGCCAGGCCTTCTCATGGAAACCTGAGTTACATTAATACAATAAGCCACGAGAGGTGATGACAGGGATTTTACGATGGTTAAGGAACCCCCGGAAATTTCCTTAATCATGGTAAAATCACCAACAGAAACAGTTCTGTGATTAAACGTAGAATGTTTAATAAAACACAGATTAGTTTATTAGCTTGTGATGTTTGCTGCAAGTACAGTTCAAAAGTTTGGGATCAGTAAGATTTTCTTTTAAGGAATAAAAAATACAGCAGGGATGCATTTGTAGATTAAAAGTGACATTTAAGAGATTTTTAGTTCAAGTAAATTCTGTTCTTTCGAACTTTCTATTCCTGAAGAAAGTGCATCACAGATTCCACAAAAACATTAAGCAGCACAACTTTGATAATAATAATCAGAAATGTTTTTGAGCAGCAAATCAGCATATTAAAATGATTTCCGAAGGATCATGTGACACTGAAGACTGGAGGAATGATGCTGAAAATACAGCTTTGATCATAGGAATAAATTACATGGTAAAAGCATATTAAAATAGAAAACGCCTATTTTAATTCGTAATAATATTTCAACAGTTTTGACTATATTTGAGATCAACTAAATGCAGCCCTAATGAGCATAAAGACTTAAAATCGTACTGATCATGAAATTTTGAACTGGTGCGTCAAATGTGTGTGCACACTTTTTAATTATAAGTCAATTTAATCCTAGATATTATTTCCTTATCTGAAAGTATATGAACTATAACCACTTAAGTATATTTCATTGTTGACCTCACAAACAGCTTTAGCCTGACTAATAAAAGTTACTGTTGTAATAGAGATCATTGTACCAGCATCCCCTGTAACTCCAGCACAGCTGATTTCCGGTTCTCTGACCTCTGCTCCTGTTATACAAATGACAATTATTTGTGATTAACAATAGTTTGTTATTTCTGAACAGTTACTTTGTAAACATATAATTCACAAGCAATATAGCAAGTGACCAAATGCACATAGTTTCACAGACAGAGGAAACCTATTTATACTCTAAAATGTAATAGTAATCACCCAATAGTACATTGCAAGACGACCTGAAAGAACATGATAATGTGCAACTGTAAATAAAACAATCTGAAACAGTGTATCACTCACCTTCCATGCGTTTTCATCATCTGGTACAGTCTAAAAAGTCCAAATAACCAAATGTCAAATATTTCAGATCATGTTGTGCACACACTCATATGGTTTCATTTCCTTCACACGTTTGATTATTGTCATAAGCACAGTTTATGTCCAGCAACACGTTATAATTCAACTGTGACAGACTCACCTGTGGCGGTCTGAGAATAGGTTTAAGAGCGATGCCTTTCTTGATTCTGTCCATCATTTCATCCACAGCTCTGGACTTCATGTCCTCCGTAACTGCGGGTTCTGTGAGAAAATCAACACAGTATTCAGTGAGGATGGAGGAGCAGCGTTTACTCTCCTCGATTTAACTTCAGCTTCTAGTGTTTCTTCCCGTCTGCCATGTTGACTTCGCATCTTTCTATCTGGAATTACACATAGTCGAAAGTAAGGTTGTCTTACTCTCAGTTTGAGTGGTGTTTTCTCCGCCCTTTTTTCTGTTCCTCAAGGCCTTCAATGGGCTAAATATACAAATGATTTGCCATTAAAAACATTTTGAATCGTTTATGCTGTAATGTATTTTTATGTTGGGAATATTGAAAGGTGTTGAAGACTCACTCAGTGACAGATGAAGATGGAGGTGGAGGAGGAGGTGGAGGAGGAGGAGGAGGAGGAGGAGGAGGAGGAGGGGGGCCAGCTGGACTTTCACTCGCCTCTTCCGATTGGTCAGATTGGATTGAAGGAAGTTGCTTCATTTCTCTCAGTTTATCCTGGAGCATCTTGACTAGTTTAAAAATGAAACATTCAGATTAAAACATCATGGCCTGGTTTCACGGACAGGGTTTAGATTAAGCCAGGACTAATCCTTAGTTCAATGAGGGTATTTCAGTAGGTTTTATAAATGTGCCTTAGTAAAAAACTAAGTAAATATATTATAGTGCTATAAAATTATTGTGAAATTATTTGGTAAGAACATGATGAGAAATGTTTGAGTTTATATGGAAACCTTGGTTGCAGACTTTAAAATCAGGTGTTTAATGTTGTTTATATTTCGATGTGGAGTTTTTAATATGAATTTACACATGGTTTGTCTTAAAGTATAAGTCGACAGCATTGCTGAGTATTTTCTTCTTAAAGCTGCAGTGAACCAAAGACAGTCTCAAAAACACGGTTTGAAATCGCTGGTGTTTCTGACGTCACAAACTACCTTGTAACCAATCAGATCCACGTGTGATCGTCAACGGGTGGATCTCTGAGCTGAGTGAGTGAGTGGAGGCGGGGCTCATTTGCATATTCATAGAACCCTGTATACTAATTGAGGCGAGTTTGTCGAGTTACATTCAAGCTATTTTAAGGCATGAAGAAAAAACTATTCAAGGAAAAACCGTTTAAATATGTCATTTTGGTGATCAAAGATGAGTTTAAGGGATAAAATGATTGACTACAGGGGGACTTTCATATCTTTGCAATTTTGAGTTCGAGACATTGTTGAGATTGTCTCTTTTGAAACAGGAGAGAGACAGATGAGAGATTACAGGGCCTTTCTCAGAAGAACAATCTGAGTAGCAAGGCTTCATTTTCAACACACTGCTGTCTTGGTGAAATAGCATCTCATGTGTGTTTTGTCTTTCGCTTGCGGGTCATTTCATGAAACAGAAGGTACTTTTTCAGCATTATAATGTAGATAACTTTTCAAACTAGACCTACTTTCCTTCTGAAGTGCTGTGACGGATTGCTGTGAGTCTCTCAGCTGAGCCTCAGTCTCGCTCCTCTCTTTCTCGCTGATCTCCAGTTTAGTCTTTACAGCAGTCAGATCAGTCAGAGCGTTGAGATCCTCGGCTGCCGTCTGTGAGATCTGCAGCGTGTCAAAAAGGGGGGGGGGGGGGGGGGGGGATACCATTAAAGCCGATTCAAATATTGCATTGGTTTGACACAGGTTCATGTTTTACACATTAAATGACACACTTTAATATGTACACTTAATAAAAATTTTTACTTACACGTAAGTATTATAGTAATTTTTTAAGTATAAACTATGGTATAATAAGTAAAAATATGCAATAATTGTTATGTTTTTTGGGGTTTTTTTTGCACAGCTGTTATATTGTTTGCACATGATGCAAAGAACAGGGGAAACTGGGGATTGTTTAACATCATCATAACTCCATGTTTCCGACACAAACCTCTGAAGCGTTATCATGCGCAGATACACTGACACACTCACCTGGCTTTGGTAACAGAGTCGAATCTCTCCCAGAGCTTTGCTGATGTCAGTCACTTGACTCAGAGCCTGTTGAAGTTGTTTCTCAGTCTCTACGTTCTGAATCTGTCTCTGGATTTCCCTCTGTTTCACCAGCATCTGTAGACCATGATGTTCAATCACTCCATCAATCACCTGATCAACTGATCAATGTCAACACGCCATCTCTGCACTATTCACTATTCTATCAAACAAATAATACAAATAACTGATCTATCTATCTATCTATCCATCCATCCATCCATTCATCCATCCATCCAACCATCTATCTATCTATCTATCTATCTATCTATCTATCTATCTATCTATCTATCTATCTATCTATCTATCTATCTATCTATCTATCTATCTATCTATCTATCTATCTATCTATCTATCTATCTATCTAATCTATCTATCTCTATCTATCTATCTATCTATCTATCTATCTATCTATCTATCCATCTATCCATCCATCTATCCATCTATCTATATATATATATATATATCATCTATCAACTATATATCTATATATCCATCTATCTATCTATCTATCTATCTATCTATCTATCTATCTATCTATCTATCTATCTATCTATCCATCTATCTATATATATATATATATATCATCTATCAACTATATATCTATATATCCATCTATCTATCTATCTATCTATCTATCCATCTATCCATCTATCTATCTATCTATCTATCTATCTATCTATCTATCTATCTGTCTGTCTGTCTGTCCGTTCGTCCGTCCATCCATCCATCTATATATCTATCCATCTATCTATCTATCTATCTATCTATCTATCTATCTATCTATCTATCTATCTATCTATCTATCTATCTATCTATCTATCTATCTATCTATCTATCTATCTATCTATCCATCTATCCATCTATCTATCTATCTATCTATCTATCTATCTATCTATCTGTCTGTCTGTCCGTTCGTCCGTCCATCCATCCATCCATCTATATATCTATCCATCTATCTATCTATCTATCTATCTATCTATCTATCTATCTATCTATCTATCTATCTATCTATCTATCTATCTATCTATCTATCTATCTATCTATCTATCTATCCATCCATCCATATATCCATCCATCTATCCATCCATCTATCTATCTAACCATCCTTCCGTCCGTCCATCAATCCACTACGCCAAACTTCAAATCTCTCTTTAAATAACCCTCATTTTTAGAAATGCCAACATTCAACGCTCGTTTTTACAACCTTCCCTACATTTTCTATTAATTGTTGAGCTCAGTGGGCATGTTAATTATTCACGCAGTGAATTATCTGAAAGACTTTCATTCAACAGAACAAAACATCAAAACAATCAGTTCACACAGCAGCAACGAAATTTGTTTTGGGAAACCAAAAACCAAATCATCCATTATCTCCCTGAAATGTTAGATAACAAGCACTGTGCTTATGTTGAAAAGCAGAACCGGCAAGCAGGAAAGGGAAGTGAAAGTTTGTCATGCGTCGGACTGTTTGGACTCTCACTTCTCACCTCCATTCACTGCTTAATCGTTCAGCTCGCAAGAAATGCGGACCTAAAGCACCAGCCGCGACCCCTGCAGAGCCACGATTACAGGGAAATACATGAGCTTGACGAGTAAACGGAGAGTCTCTTTGTGCGATGACGGCCTGTTTTTTCTCCCTTTCGTATTAGTCCGTCATTAGACCCCCAGTGACTAGAAAAAAAAACACTGAACAAGAAGAAGATGAATGTGTTTTCAAAACAGATGGAAAACAGAAAAATGGAAGGGGTGGCGATAAAGAATGTCATTCAAGCTGTGTGGTGTGTGGCCACACATTCAGAATGAGTTTGAGTGGTGCGCGAACCGTCGGGGGTCCCTTTCACAGGTGAAGGCCCCCTGTTGGGACCCCCATTATGTCTGTGTCTGCAAATGGGGAACAATATACACAAAGCCGACAAAAGAGATGGCAGATAGGAAGTGTCAAGCAAGGACAGGGGTTTAAAGAGCTGGCGATTTTCAAACTGCCATCTCGATGGGTGCTAATTACCACAGGAAGAGACGAGGGATGCAAAGACAGATGCCACTTTTATGCAGAGATGCTCATTTAGACTGAATGAATGCTATACCGACTGGTATTAACAGAGCCAGCGGGACTGGCATGGTCAATGAGTGAGTGCTTGTCTGTGTTATCTCAATCCAGTGTTTTCTCTTCTTTGTTTCGTGTTTGTTTCATTAATGCAGGTCCATAGTTGTAAGTGTGAATTGACCCGATCCAGCCCAAAACTCCCATGGCCCTTGTACACACTCGACTAAATCGGAAGACACTGCACTTCCTCCCATTCACTGTCTATTGATTCAGATGTTGCCGTGTTGTCTTAGGCCTCTGAGCGAGAAGTGTGTTTTTATGTCCTGTCTGGAAATTCACTAAACATGATTAAATTGTTTATGTTAAATTATCATATCTCGTCAGTATCTGCTATACTCTATCACCTTTTTTAAATACATTTTATTTTCTACTTTATTGCATCTGTAATCATTAGCTATTTTGTGATTATTTTGAAGTCCTTTTATGTAAAGCACTTTATATTAGGCCTACCGCGTATGAAATGTGCTATATTATGAATAAACTTTGCCTCTAAAAACATGAATAAAGGCCTTGTTAACAGCTTCAGAGTTAAGGTGTGATCACGTTTACTGCTGTGTGGGGAAATTTCTCAGCGAAATCCAGTCTTAGGTTTTATGTCGAACGTCACATGAACAAAGAGGAAAACAGTTCTCGTTGTGTACGATTGTCAGAGAAAGTGTTAACAGTTTGGACGGCGATATCTATGGACTTTTAAGGTAATCAGCTAGTTTTTATTGTTGTCATTTTATTCAATTTTGTAGCTAAATGTAAGAAAACTTTTAGATATCAATGTACATGTTACGGACTTTGGTTATGCTCATATTTGGTTGCTCATCTTGAGTAAAACAGCTTTATATTTAATAAAGCACATACAAAAGACCTGGACTGGAAGCGCTCCAACCCGTTTTACAGAATAAGGAAGTTTGTTGCGCATAACCAACATACTCCAATAGGAATCAGTGCGATCAAAAGTTTTGGTTGAGAGTGAAAAGTTTCCCCATGCAAATTTCACTCATGTTCAAGTGAAATCATCGCGTTCACCAACATAAATCTGCTTGGTATAAGTGACTTGACCTAGGCACATCGCTACAATATTGACATTAGACAATTGTCCCTTTTCACATTTCCGGGTTTCTCAGAAGCAAAAGTGTCATAGTTGGGTAAACTTCTATTAGCGGTCAATGAGAGACTAGCTACATTAAATATATCATTTTTTGTCTTCCCATTTGCTCAAATAGCAAAAGAAAAACTCCACAATAGTGTTTTCACAACTTTCAAAAAGAGGGGAAAAAATAGAGAGAGATTGATAACAACAGTAAGAAGAGAGAAAGATGTCAACTTTACCGTCACTCCCACAGCCGCTGTTTTTGGAACACCCTCACAAGCAGAGGTCACTATTTTTTTGTAATTTGATGCAAAGGTAATATAATACAAAGTAGCCTATTGCTAGTGTTATAAATGTAGACACATTAATATATATATATATATATATATATATATATATAAAACTTTGCAGGAATTAAAATGCGACCGTTAAAACGCGTCATCGTCTGTGATAAAGGTCCATGGAACTTTCCCCGCGAAATCTCGATTTCGAATGTGACTGCACCTTTAAGTTATTTTTAAATGCGGGTAACCTTTATTATGTCATGCCGTTATTTCTTTTAGCAACCAAACATATTACAACAAACGTTAAAGAACGCACCGCGTCCCATATTGTCGCGTGAGAGTCATTTCTACAAGCTCGTGCCAAGAAGGTTTGCTTCTTTTCTGCTGCAAAACTACTCTAAACAGAAGATAATGTGATTTCCGCGATGTAACGGTCAAAATTATGAGGCGGTTATCGGGACTGTGACATTTGAATTATAACAAGCATTATCGTCATCTTTATTTACACAAGGAAGGGGATCTTGTTTACATCGAAGTGGAATTTAATCTACACGGAACTGAACCCAAAGTCTATTTATAAACCACACAAGTCAACTGAAATACTGACTAGAAAGTGCTGTTTTTGTGCCTGTCACTGTGTGTGGAACTGACAAATGTAAGTAATTCTCTCCATTATTGTTTGCTTCATAAAACCCTATAGGGCCTAATGTAAAATATTGTGTTTTAAGTGCATTTACAATTAATTATCTGCTGGGTTCAACCGCACCATTGTGTTTGTAAAGCCTTGTTTACATTTGGTATCAAGATGCGTTTTGGTCGAGTGGATTACAAGTGGACGACGCTTTTACCGATGACTTTTTTTGTTGTTGTGAAATGACATTTCAGTCCCTCACAGCCTCGTTTTCAACTTTGGAGCTTGCACTTAGCTTGCACATTCCTCACATTCGGATTGTTCTCAGTACTTTTATAAGTTGTCTGAGTTTATTGCACGCAAAGCTTGAGAGATATCTTTAGTATGGCTAATTGTATGCATTTTTATAGAGCAACTATAGAGTTGTTGTTGTTGTTTTACCAATCTGACTGGAAACAAAGTCTTGTCAGCAAAGTCATGGTTGACACAGCAAGTGCCATTGAAGATGGAATCATCTCTGGATTCACTAAAGTTTACCAGGTTAGTGACATCAAATCTAATATGTATATTTTTTGTTTGAATACACTTGTAGCATCTAGTATTAAACTAGATGAACTGCAGGGATATCTGCTTTGTTTTATGTCTGTGAAATTGTTTGTGTAAGTAATTTTCATGTCACTAAAATCAATGACTCTTACTGTCTAAGCGGTTACTTCTTGGCCTAAATAAGCTACAGTATAGAGTCTATGGACAAAGCTTTTGCTGTCCAGTCTAAGGAAATGCCGGTAGTGTGCAAATTAGAGAAACATTTCAAAGCTTTTTATGTGTCCTTCATTTAACAAAAAGAAAAAATGAATAACAAAGTTATTCCAGTATAATCTTTCACTCGTTTTCAATTCAGTCAAAGATTAAATATTCGTGGCTCAAACTCTTTGACAGCAGACCTCGTATGTCAGAGGGTCCCAAACTTGTTCAAACCGCTTCATTTGAACAATGTTACAGCTTCTTAAAGGAGCTGTATGTAAGATTGTGGCCAAAACTAGTACTGCAATCACTGTCAAATTACTGTAGAGTGGTGTATCCTCTCCCCCTCCTCCCTGACTCGAGGTTGCCAGATCAGCTGCAGGATCCAGCAGGAACGTGACGAGCTGCAGCTGTGGTAACTAGAGCAGAGCTGGCAACCCGGATGCCGCAACACTACTGACTTCGTGATTGGTAGATAGGTGGAGGGTGGAGCATCAGACCAAAACACAACATGACAACATCAACATCAGTTGAGGGCTGCAACTGCACTTTTTAAATGACAATATCCTGGCCAGACCACTGTTGTCAGTGATATAAGTATTTGAAATGTACATGATTTCTTAATGTCTAGTGACATTTCAGGGCCATTTTATGATTAATTGAAATAAATTTCTTACATACAGCTCCTTTAAGTGAGCGAATAGCTGGAGCTGATTTGCTGGCATTTTGGCCTCGAATCAGATGTTAAAGCCCCCCTGTAGTCAATAATTTATGATTGGTTACAAGGTAGTGTGTGACGTCAGAAACACCAGCGATTTCAAAACTGTGTTTTTGAGACTGTCTTTGGGTCACTGCTAGCCTGGTTAAAACCAGACCATTCTCAGTTGTAACTGAGTTATGGTCTGGCAAAGCGTCATAGACAAATCATTTCCAGAGGGGCGTCACCAATGGACGTCGCGGATAGACCTAAAACCAATCCGAGCGATGAAGGAGATGACGTATGCAGAGCGGCGGAGAAACATCTCCGAGTGTTGTTCTTTGCTCGGTTTTTAACAAAAAGGAAACGTTCAAATCGCTTAAAACCGACGCGATAGCTGATTCGAACGAGTGATGTTCGACGGCGGCATCCATCTTTGTAATGTAGGCTACAAAATCTGCTTCAAAATCCCAGCGCTGTCGTCATCGTGTAAAGCCCGCCCCAACGTTTCTGATTGGTGCCGCGATTTCGGCGGATTGGAAATGGGCTTGAATGAGCTCTTTGCCAGACTAACTTTCAGAGCAAATCTAAATTTGCCGGAAGTTGTCTGGGTTTCCCCAGGCTAGGTCACTGCAGTTTTTAAGGAGAAAATACTCAGCAATGGTGTCGACTTATGAATTTGCACATGGTTTGGCTTAAAGCATATTTAAAACACCACACAGATATACATGATTAAAAGCTTGATTTTCACCACAGGGGGACTTTAAATTAAAAGCAGTGTGTGTTAATGACTGGGCAATGAAGCAGCTGCCGTAGTTTCTTGGTGTCTATGTTGTGCTATCTGTCTAACTTCAGTCATCCTTGTTCTTGAAGTTTTGTCAGATTAGATTAGATCAGATTTCTCCAGTTCAAAGAATACCTGGTGTGCAAAAACTTCAGCATGCTGCCTGAGTCCTTGCTCCATTTCGAGCTTCTGAGACATCTCTGAAAACTCTTCTGTAACCAGCTGGGACACTGAGGACCGAGAAACTACAGTCAGTCTGTCGTTCTGTACGTGTTTATCAGCGGGAGAATATATTCGGTGGACTCACCTCTCTTCATTTTATTCACAGTTCGGCTCTGCTTACTGAACTTCCTCAGAAGAGCCTCTTTCTCCCCGACCTCAAACAGCAACTTAAGAGTAGGAAAAGAGTTTGAAGTTTAATGAAATTCAAAATCTTAGGATTTCTGGTCACATTTAATGAAAGTAGGGTTCTGACAAGAAAAAAACAGCGTTAAGATTTATTTTTGAGGCAAATTGTTCATCATTTTGTCAAAATGCTCTGATATGAACATGTACATGAACATACAATTGCAGTCATAAATTGACATACACCTTTTTGTTTTATCATGAAATGTTTTAACACGACCCTAATACAAACCTTTTAACAGGGTCATTTTTATAAATTCGTCTGACGGCTATTATTTTTGTGGACTACTTGACACCTCTTACCTGAAATGGCATGTTAAGGGTAGTACATAAAAAAACTGCAAGCAATTTTCATTAAATTATTATTTAGTTCAATTATTAACATTTTGTTGATTTCGCAAGGTGTATGTAAATTTATGATCAACTGTTTGCATGTCTAACATGACCATATTTTTCAGGTCTTTTCATGTGATCCCATTTGAAGGCACTATTATACCTTTTCCTTCAAATCATCCTTCTCTTTCTTAAGAAGCTCCACCTGGTCACTGAGCTGAAATTTCTCCCCAAGTAGCCGGTCTACAGATGACTGTAGTTCTGTAATGACAAACAGATTGGACAAGGCTTATGGGAATGCATATTTTAACCGCTTTCGAGGCTGGTGTTATTCACAAGCGAGAGGCTACGGGTCCCACCTCTAATTTGGTTCTGACTCAAGAGAAGTGGATCTTCTCCGCACTCTTCCTCAGGGACCGGCTCAGAGCTGGGATCAGCCTCAGGGTCCAGGTTCAGGATGGAAAGGTGTTCTGGCTTTTCTTGAATCAGGGGAAGGATGGCTTGACTTTGCCTCTTCAGTACCTTGAAATCTTTTGTCACCTGTTGGTTCAAAAGTCCCAGAGATTGAGAAGGGGTTGCGCTTTTTTTTTATGTTAAGCCTCAATATGAGGTTTGTCGCAGTCGCACCCCTTTCTTTATCCAATATCCAATGCAAACAATATAACATTTAAAGTCCCCCTGTGGTGAAAATCCAGCTTTTAATGTTGTTTATATGTCTATGTGGTGTTTTTAATATGCTTTAAGACTAACCATGTACAAATTCTGCGTATTTTTTCTTTAAAAACTGTCTCAAAAACACAGTTTGAAACCGCTGGTGTTTCTGACGTCACACACCACCTTGTAACCAATCAGATCAACGTGTGATCGTCAACGAGTGGATCTCTGAGCTGAGTGAGTGAGTGAGTGAGTGGAGGCGGGGCTCATTTGCATATTCATAGAACCGCATATACTAAATCACATTCAAGCTATTTGAAGGCATGAAGACATTTTTTTCATTGAAAAACTGTTTCAATCAAGGGGGTAATCCATCGACCGGAAGTTGAAGCCGGCCGGGTGCCGCCATCTTGTAGCAGAACTTCACTTGCGTTAGCATTTCCATTGACTCCCATTCATTTTGGCGTCACTTTGACAGCGAATAACTTTACATCTGAGGCGTTTAAAGACTCCATTTGTCCATTATTTATTTCTAAAGAAACACAACAATGTATAAAGCGCTCCATTACCTTCTATGTTACATTATGGCCCCGTAGAAACAGATTTAGTAAAAATAGGCTAACGATTGCGTCATAACCACTCGACTCTCTGTCGCGCTGTACAGAAATTACCGTACAGACAGAAGGAGAAGCTCGCAGGCAATCGGGGGGACGTCCCGTCAAGGGAGAAGCCCATAGATAATGAGTCCATAAAAGCAACGGGATACTTACTCCTGCTCACTCACGCCAAATAACTCTTTGCTCAAGTTCCCCGTCTCTGCAAGATTAACGTTGGCAATTTTCACGCACAGCTACTAGAAGAGTAACGTCTGTCAGACAGGTTGCTCACGTCATCAAGCTTAGTTTGAGTCGGTTTGAGTCTGCGCGTCAGGAACGGAAGTGGTCAAAAATCACTAAAAATGGGCTTCAACTGAGTTCCAATGAGATGGCTCTGTCCACTTCTTATACTGTCTATGGTTTCAATATGAAATTTTGGTGATCAAAGATGAGTTTTTAAGATTATTGACTACAGGGTGACTTGTAGGAACTGGTTTCGAAGCAATGGCACCATTGGCCAGATCCATAATCTGCCCTTGAGTTGAACTCAGTTTCACTCTTAAAAATAAAGTTGTTGTTTTTTGCAGTGATGCCATTGAAGAACCATTTTTGGTTCCCCAAAGAACCTTTCAGTGATCAGCTCTTAAAAGAACCATTTTTTCTTAATGTGAAGAACATTCTATAAATCTAAAAAACCTTTTCCCACTAGAGAACCTTAATTAGTGGAATAGAATGTTAAAGGTTCTTCATGGAACCATCAATGCCAATAAAGAACCGTTATTTTTTAAGAGTGTGGGATAAATGACTCAGTTTGGAGAACATGGTAAAGCTTGTAACCGATATGGGGGATGTGAAAATACTCAACAGAACAAATACAAGCTGTTAGACTTGCAGGAAAAGGGAAGTGTCTCTATACCTTCAGCGCTAAGGCCTCTGCGGTCTCCCGGCAGGACCGCTCGATCTGGAACTGCATCTCTAAAACATCCAGCTCCTTGAGCAGCTGAGAAGAGGCTGAAAGTTACAGACAGCAAATTAGCACGGTTTCAGTGACACTTCAGGTAGGCTAGTTTGTTGCATTGTCAAGTTATGTTATGCGAGTTATGCCAAGGTTTAGCCATACAGTAAATGTTTTTCTCTCAGTATGAGTTGATATGAGGATATTGCAATGCTAAAACTCTCACCCTCCTCCATCCTTGACAGCTTTTCATTCGCCTCATCTCGCTCTTTCTCCAGAATCTCGCACTGTATAGCAGATTACACAATGATAGACATTTTGAAAAAAATAAAAAATATGGGTGAAGCAGTTAAGCAACGACTGTTTGCAGAGAGTCATTGGCTATGTTCAAAACAGTGCAACTTCACATTGGATTTGTGACTCTCTCCCACAATTTCGGTGTTTTTTGCGATGTTATTTAGGCGTTGCTTGTAGTTGCAACAAGAAGGCGCCTGATTTATCTGCCTCACTATTGCTCTTACTCTGTCTATGATATGCAGTAAGAATATTGTAGCGTGCAAATGTTCTGGGACAGCAGATCAGCTGCTACTTTTGCCAAAATGTGTGGCATAAAATAGAGCATGCCGTATCCCACAATGCAATCTGCTCGGCTAAGACACCGCTAGCTCGATTAAGCATGCAAACTGCTGTTTAAAACATGTTTGCCTGTTGCATGCTGTTGTAAAAAGTCGTATATACTGTGCCATAAGTAGTGCTATCGTATGCATTCTGGACAAAGCCAGCTCTACTTAAGCAGAGATTACCTCAATGTCTCGTTCATCTTCTGAAGACAGGGCGTTCTCCTCCTCAGACTCTAAGAAGACAACACAGGAAGTTTTCAGATTATTCATGCGTTTCATGTATAATTAAAAGGCAGCCATATTAATCTAAAAAAAGAAACAGTATGATGTTATTATTAAGGATATCTGTAAAATTAGGCATTCACGATATTCTGTGGTCAAATGTTTGTGTATGACCAAGACATTTTTTGTTTCCTATGTCGCTCTGCCATGTTCATTGGACTGACGGACAATTTTATCCGTTACTGTTAATATATTTCATTACCCAGCTTATCCAGTAGAATAAAAGACATTTTTTTAATAGTTTAGAATGAAAATTTCATAAGGATAAAAAATGTATCCAACCTGAAATTCTTTCGTCCGGTTCGAGATTCCACATGATTTCTCAAGCTTCTCGTCAGCGTCTGTTCTTCTAAATCCCTCTCGGTTTCTGTGTGACAGTGTAGGAAGAACTGAAACTAAGGTGGCGCTCTGCTTTTATTTCTTCCTATTTTGTTACGTAAATTCACACAAAAGTCCATTCTGCTTTGCCCTTTATGGTTAACCGAGTCAACAGTGGCTATTTAGAAAGGATTTGATAAAGCAGCATTCATCACGCTTGTCCCTTGTGAAAGCATGAGCCGGCTTGGTTTTGTGACACAGCGTTGTCCAAACATGTTTATGCACTCATAAGATGATTATATCCAAAGCATTTAAGGTCACGATGTGTGTTTTTTAATCTTGGCTTTTTGTATCAGGCTTTAGCTGTTGAGCTTTTGCACTCATAACGGTTGAATTTTAGTGTCGAATTTTTTGTTTTTATGAGTCAGTTGAAGTTGCTAAACTGCTGATTCATAGAATTCAGTTGCAATGCAAAGAGCCATAATAATAAATGCCATTTTGCATAACCAAAGATTTGTCTGGTGTCTTGAGAGCTATTGATAGTTTCATGGTGGATCCACATCAACAAGCCCAAAAGTATGTTTAGTTTTAAGAGAGCTGGCCTTTCTAAAGGATTAAATTGTTGTGTAAAGTCCATTTATACGCAGGATCTTGGAGGGTCGTCTGTCTTTGTTGCAGACTACAGTCATGAGGGCCAAAATCATGTGTTTACGTGGCTAAGATTAGTCCTGTTTCTATCTCCAGATGAACATTTAGCTGCACATAACCCTGAAGATTTAAGAAATGTCCAGAGTTCGATGTTTCCCTAAAGAGATCGGAGCTGTAATTGCAGGACTGAAATGGTTTCAAGGTGAAATGACTTTGGTAAAGAACAGTGAGAGGAGTATGGAGCTAGAATTGTGTCTTTATTACATGCGAGAAAATTAATGATCTGAGAGAAGGAAAAAAAGTTTGAGAGAAAAAGTTATCACAACTGATAGCAAAAAAAAGCATTTCATGAGAGAAAAAAATATATTTGAGAAAAAAAGTTTTCATACCAATCGCAAAAAAAATATAATATTTAAGACTAAAAAAAGTTTTGAGAGAAAGTATTTTCTCATAGAACATAAATTTGAAATTTTTAAAATTATTTCTGAGAAAAAAAATATCTCTCAAAATACTTTGAAAAAAAATCTCAAATATATATTTTTTGCTATCAGTGTGAAAACATTTTCTCTCTAAAAAAAAAAATTGTTTCTCTCAAAACCATCCAGCAAGAAACTTTTTCATAGAGGAGTCGATGCAGTCTGGCATGTAAGATTAAAAACTAACTTATTCAAAAAAATGTTTTGTCTTATGCAAAGTCTAAAGGAGAATCAATGGCTGCCTGCACATTCTGTGTGATTCTTGTGATTATAGTATATAGAGACAGATCTCATTTTATTTCCATCTGTGATCTATTAATTCTATAATCAGTGTTTTAATGAGCTTCAGGATTATTGAAGCTGTTTCTTCATCATACACACCTTTTCTAGTGTTGGTGATCTCAATCAGTGAACAAAATGTCCAATATGCACAAGCTATAATAAAACTATATATAAATATAAAGGTTTATATTCTAATAATATTTCAAATGATTTTATATAATAAATTGCATAGTCGTTTAAAGTTCCCATGACTAAAGTATTTATAAAAAAAATAATTCTTTATTGGCCTGATCTTTTATAGCATGGATTCCTTGGTCATTTTATTTTAAGATGATTTGCAATGGAGCGTCATTAAAAGCTTTCAGGATCAACTGCAAAACATGGGACACTGGGATGCATTTATTATTCACGTTTAATATTACTATAGTTTTAAATGAAATGCATCCAAACATTGACTTTCAGAAAAAATATTAAATGTCTTGCAAAGTAAAATGCTTATGTCTGTTTTCTCAGGCGGAGAGAGAACGCTACTGAGCATGTGCTGATTCAGGTAAGTGTCATCACTCTTCACACTGAACACATTCACTGTTGTACACGTCTCTTCTACCGCCTAAAACCAGCACTTTATCCACAACGGAAATGCACGTACAGTATGTCCTCCTTAGGCTTCCCATTCAAATCTAATGTCCGTAATATAAGCTACACTCTGCTCTTGTGCCGCTGGGCATTTAAACTATGAATTAAGATATTATTTGGTGCCTTTATAAACATATTTTCTCGTCGACGTCAGGTCAGGTTTTTGCTTTTCTTCTGGTGATACGTTTTGAAATTTTGCCCCCAGGTTCACAAAAGCACGCAGCATTACAGTAATGAGAGTGTATTAGGATTAAACATGACGTAAAGAGGCTGACTGATAGGAGGTCATGGGTGGGTCATTGGGTCATATCACCAGAGCACGCGAGGAGTCCCAATTATTGACTGTTCACCCACACACAAACACAGTGGACATCGATTCAATCAGTCAATATTACGGCATACGGGCCAGTGTTTGGAGTGTTTCTGAAAGGCATGAGCCGAACAGCGCGAGGAGCGAGAGAGAGAGAGAGGACGGGTCAGATTCAGGGCTGTGAGACGCGACTCGATGTGATGTGACAGAGCCGCCTGGAAGACTCGACTGGCCCCTCCGTGACTTCATGCGCTTGCAAACAAACCTAAACTCGGTGATGCCGGAAGGCCGGGTTTATAAAGGAGACTCGCGCTTTTTCTACTGCAATGGGAGCTTGTTTATGAGCTATTCGCCTAAACAAACTATTATTAATCATGGATTTGTCAAAAACAACTATGAATTAAAAAATATATATATTTGTCAATAATAATAATAATTTTAGTTTCTCAAACTATTTATCTTTTTTAAAATTTGTATATTATATTATATATTCCTTCATATTCTAAAACAATTAGTCTAATAATCATTTGTTTCTCAAATTCTTTTTTTTTCCAATTCATATTATATTACGTTAATTGTATTTTAAAAACAATTTGTCAAAATTAATAGTAATTTAAGTTTCTCAAATTATTTCTCTTTTTTCCAACTCATATAATTATATTATATTTCTTCATATTATAGATTATTTCTAATTCATATATTATATTATCAGAAGTTTAAATAATAAGAATGATGATTTTATTATTAATTTATTCAAATTCATCTCTCTCTATATATATATATAGGCCTATATATATATGGTTTCTTTTTTCTTTTTATGAACATTATATATGATTTTTGGGGGTTTCTTTTTATGAATATTGTTAACAGAAACCTAAACACTATTCTGTTGTCATTCAAGTGCTCTTACTTTCATCAAGTCTTGCTTTAGTGTAATATTGGTGTTGTCCAGGATGCAGTGTCTTCTGATTGGTCGTGACTCCGCTTTGCCTCTAGGTGGCGCTCTGGCCTTGTGAAACGCAACCTGTTGCTCACAGGTTCCCTCAGACCCTCACCTCAGCCTGAAGACTTTCAGAGCAAGCTTTTCAGTTTATCAAGACTCTGGTAGATAAACGTAGCAGTTGTTGTTGATTGAGCTGGTTGATGCTCTTTATCTATTGTCATGATTTACACACAAAAAAAAAAATCAGTTTTCACCTAATATTGTTCCAGTTGATCAAAATTGCCTAAAAATATGCTTGTATTTATGGCACCTTCCATTTAAAGCTAATAAGGCACAAATAAATATGTGCGATTATTTGTGTTTGTTAGTTAAACCGTTTTCTAACAACTTTTTTAAAGACATAAAACCAATTTGGCCAGTTCTACCAGTGATCTTCACCTTCCTGAATATATCCATCAATTAAAATTACATACAGAAATATGATCATTTTGACGTTATCTGTTAAAAACTATATTACATTTATTGTAGAAGAAATGTTTTACCATATTTTAATTTTCAAATTAGTGTCCCAGAAAGATGATTCAATTATGTTGTTCTATTTTCTTGTTATATCTTTTGCAAATTTTTACATAGGCTAGATTTACATAATTTTATTTTAATTTTATTATTTAATTTATATATTATTTAATTTATTTTATTTTTATTCTCAACCCTGTTCCAAAGATAATAATAATAAAATAATAAAGTTTTTTTTTTTTTTTACATTATCTGTTATTTATATTAAATTGATTGGTTTATTACCATTTTAATTAGCAAAACATTTCCCTTATTTAAAGAATGGACACATTAAAAATGAAATTAAATCAAATATTTGTTTTATTGTGTTTTATTAAAAAACACACACCATAAATTACATTATTTCTATTTTTATGTACATTTTTACATAAAATTACATTACCGGTATTTTATTTTTATTCATAATTTTTTAGGTTTTTATTTATTTATTTATTTTTTAACCCTGTTCCAAGGGCTATAGTAAGAAAAAAAAAGAAACAATATTTGTCTTAAATTTATGGGAAATACAAGTTTATCAATAACTACAAAATGATCCCTTCCTACAATCCAACATTTGGTCACCAACTAACTGAGTGACATCTTAATTCAGGCTTACATTGCAATCCTGTTTTTTTTTTTTTTTTTTTTTTAAATCTACTTTTAAAATGTACAAAAAAAAATGATCAGAAGCTTCTTTTGAAGAGTGTAAATCCATATTTTGTTCCCTGCTTGTAGTGTGTGTTGTTCAGGAGGGGAAGTGTTGGAGTGTGTGTGGTGATGTCTAGGCTGTCTCTCGCCGGGCACGCAGTGGTACAGACAGTGTGTCACAGTCTCAGAGAGATGATGAGCGGGACAGAGGAAGGGATCTAGACACGGGCTCATGGTGGGACACACAGACCAGCCCTGTGTCCCAATCACGATGTCCCAGGAAGCGAGGTCTGGCCTGGCACAAAGTGGTACAGTCGCCAGACAGCTGTGACTCATGGGAATAGTGAGTGAAAGAGAGATATAGTGACCAGAATGATGGATGAAAAAGCTAACTGTTGATTTAATATGATCCTCAGTGGGACAAAAAAGCGGAAGTCCCGCAGCCGACTGGGCTTTCAGAGGGTGTGATTGGTCTCTGCGGGGGATCCACACCTGTTTCAGGCCAGGGTTAAGCCTTTGTCGTCTCCTCCTGCGTCCCGTTCACTGAGGGTG